TTTTAGTGCGTATTTTCTTACATAGCTGGACAAGTCGCGGCGGTCGATTCAGATGATCAACTACTAAGATCGCCAAAGATGAAGCTCTACGAAGAAGGGACTGTAGACATAAGTTTTTGTAGAGGTACACTAGGTGCTCGTATTTGTACTTTTGCCAAAAAACATGACCTTCCGGCCCTGCCAACAGCCTGCCTAACACGTCTGTACATTGATGATACTTATGCAGTTCCAGTTTCACTTCCAGCTTTACCTTCGGTGAAGTATTGGAACACAACGGTCCGGCAACAATTCTTACGTTCCGAACAAAAGTCACCTCGTAACCTCGGCTGCTTCTAATGGACACGTGAGTGACACGTAATCTTGCGGCATTGAAATTGCTTCAGTGGACTGATTAGGACAAGGGTAAAGCTTAAGACTAGAATCACGATACGAGTCTATTGACAAAACTTTCCAACCTGCTTTAAATGAAAAGAGCCAGAATAACGCAACATTTTCTCATCTCTAATATCCCTTATGTCTGTCACTCAGCGAGAGTCGGTGGAAGGACTTGAATTCACCTACCTCAATCGCTTCACTGTTAGCACGTCCAAGTTCCGACCGGTTGAGATCATTTTGAGGCGTTGTGTAGTCCAGTGGAGTGCACCCGGAGAGTGGCACCTGGGACCTCTGTGGGGACACACGTCGCACACTTGGCAAACTGCTGCTTCTCGACTCCTCAGAGGAACCGGCCGGAGCTGAGAGACTTCGTTTTGACGTTGATGTTGAAAGAGTTCTCTCACCAGAGGCTATCAAAAATACTAAATGTGTAACTACACCAGCCGAAAAAGTGCCAAAGTGTTGTTACCTCTCATAATGCGTTTTAGTTTCATTTTTTTGAGTTCAGTGAAAATAATCGGTTAAAATACATTTACATTTACATTTTTCTGAATTGCACATCTGATCAAAACATTTTAAAGCAATAAATAGGCCAAGTGCTTTTCACAATCACGTTGTTCAATGTAATTATGGTTAGTTTTCTTACCATATTTCCATCTGCTATTTAAGTTTTCCTACAGGATGTCATCCTCATTCATATTGAGATAAAATTCACTAAAAATCATGACTTTTTTGCCCGCGCCTGAACAATTCTTGCTTCCCGAGGGAAAGGAAAGAAGCTCAACGATTTCAATCTCACTTTAAAGGAATATCGCATCAACTATCTCCTAACTAGGCGAATAATCCATGACAACTGGCGGGTCGGATGAGAGTGTCATCCAACACAATATACCGTACTGATGGCAGCTTCCCACATGCATACGATTTTTATTTTCACGGACTTAAGTACAAATAACCTGAAGCGGTCATCGAATTCAAAGGAATGGGAATAAAACTTTGGCAACTCCAAGACCAGTAGGCCGATTTCGAGTTAACCTCACTAAGGGGGAGAAATTCAAGAAGAAGGCACCGATAGTGAGAATCGCATTACCAAGTTAAAAGCGAATACACAAGTAGTATGTGGTGTCCTCGGACCTCTCTAAATGCAAAGCTGTGCAATATTAGAAAGAGGCGTGCAATATAGACCAAAGACAGATTTGGAGCCACTGTCATTGCCACCCTACTGGGCCAGTCGTCGGGGCTTCCAAAGAGCAGGTCAAAGTTGTCCATTGCCAAAACCGGGAGTCAAACAACCAAATGAAAGGATACAAGTATTCGAAGGAAATAATACAGAAGGATATTGCT